ATGCTTTCAGTGCACATACGGGCATGTGAGTGTTGTCTTACATTAGACTTGATAAAATGTGAGCTTTTCCTTCAACATTCCTGTGAACAAATGTGAGCCAGATGGTTACGATTTACACAAGACCAAACGGATTTCTAAAATCTAATTTCATGCCATTTTAATTTCCCTGTGTGGGATCAGTAAAACTTCCATAACCAGAATAAACCAGATCAGTAAATCCTCTGTCCGTCCCATGTGAGACGAATGCAGCCTCAGCATGAGCTGACGTCTCTGCTCCTCACCTTCTACTCCATGTTTGATTTTCTTCTTCTTCTCCTCCTTCTTCTTCTTCTTCTTCACCCGTTTGGAAACAATCAGCTCCCATCAGACATGTTTTTGTGTCTTCGCAATAAACTGACATTGAAACTCCTAACAGAAGCAAGGACGTGTGAAATCAGCAGGTTACGTGAAGTCACTGATGTCTTATCAACATGTTGTACAACAAGGACATCTGACCTGAGCAGGACTGAGAGGGGCTTTGTTTTGTTAACGTTCTGGAGCCAATAAAAAAAGTTACAGTTTAACAAAATCACCGTCTTATGTGTAAAAAAGAGAGATAACAAGATCTAAAACTGTTCCAGTATTTACACCTCCTCGCTGACGAAGCAGAGTCAGTGGTAGTGTTCAGATTACTGATGCAGTTATAAATTAATACTGTTCATAGTGTACAGTATTTAGCATAGAGTAGCCTGGTGTTACTGAGTTGACAATAATATTTGACTTAAAGCAGAGATATACTTACTTTTAACTACGCATTTGCATGACGGCTGCCTCGCATGTCCTCGGTCCGTTTGGAGCGGCGTTTGTTCACATCAGAATGTAACGCTAGACGTGTGAAAGATGCAATATGCACATGAACACCAGGGGCAGCGTAGGGACGGCAAACTCGGTGTGTGTCACAGGGAAAATAATAAAGCATTTCCTTAATTTCATATCTTAGTAGCCCTTAATTAATAGGCCTCCAGTGATGTTAAAACCCACTTACATCCCATGTTTAGCCTGGTTTTAGAGCACTGAAGGTCCAGAGTGTCACAGAAAGGCTAACAGGAGAAGCTAAATGACTAAGCTAATTGATTAGCTAGAAGAATCCTCCAGTAACTTGTTTAGTATTGAATGATTACGTTCACGATGCATCCGGTTGTCGGTATGAACACGTGGTTGAAAAGCAAGTATATCTCCGGCTTTCGTTGGCTCCAGTTTACTCTGGTACAAATCTCTCAGCAGCCATCATGGAGGCCTGGTGGACAATGGGCTGGAGGCAAAGGTCTAAATGTATAACAACTAGAACTGTTGTCAAAACCATTTAGTTAGGATGTAAATTTTAAAAAAGTGTTATAGTATGTTTTCAAATGTAGGTTCACATGTACAATATTCAATTTCTTAAAGTACTAAAAAAGCAGTTTCTTTGCCACTGAACCACATTAATGATTAAGCTGAAACCTCCACATTATGTGACAGATTCAAAGTTTAAGGTTCAATTTATGGATTTGTGAAAAATGGAAATACACAGCGACCCTCCTAATCAACCAATGCTGATGACATAACATGGACATTAAAACCCACCATGGGCTGAATAAATACCCTTCATATCATCATCATATCTTCTTCAAACTTTGTAGTTTGGGAAGAGTTCGCTCAGTAAAGCTAACAATAAGCTTGATAAATACCAATCAAGCATTAATGTTAACATGGTAAAGGATGAGTTTTTGATAGACACTTTAGCTAGTGTGCTAATATTTCAGTTGTTTATATATAACCTAGAAATCTAAAAAATTCATTTTTAATCTTTTGAACTTAGACATATTTTGACTCAGAAAATCCCTTGATCAGACAGGAATTAAACATGTCTGCCAAATTATTCAGACACCACCGTGTCGTAGTTTCTGGATTACGATCAGACCTCTTGAAGAGCTGAAGACCTCCAGTATGACCTCCAGATGGTTCTGCTGAAGCCCCTGTTTTATCACTGCAAAGATATTTTTCAGAAAAGCCAATAAGAAAGTTTTCATTCCGCCAATATTTAACTTTGACTATCAGATAATTGCCTGCACAGTTAGAAACTGAAGCTTCAGAGTGGCGATAGTTACAGACTGGATGTTGTGTTTTCATGGTGGTTCCCGTAATTTCACCAACATTAAACTACATAAGCACATGATCCCTGAATGGACGTGTTCAGTGACTCATCACTATTGAGCTGCACAAACAGTATTTTTCCAAGTTGTGATTATGAAGAGTAAACGGAAGCCATATTTCAGTAGTTATTGATTATTTAAATCAGTCGGATGTTATTTTGTGTCTAATTATTTAAGTTATTTGAGTATGAAGTTTTGAAAAATGTGGATTTTATTTATTTGTTTATTTAAATGAAATTTAAACTTCTTTTGAATTGACATCAGCTAACTCGACTGTATCCTGATATGCAATGTGACTGTTTTTGGAGAATATTTGAAGGGCTATAGACATTAGATGAGTTTATGGAGTTAGATCAATATTAGTCTTCTTAAGATGTTTATCTTAGAGGGTTTGATACGTAGAAGATTAGCAGCATAGCGCTCTGTTTGTATACTGAGAGGAAAACTGAGGAATATTGATATTTACGAACGCCCTGAGGGGCCAGTGAGAACAGGTGAAAAAAAAGTCTGTTCTTTGTTTGTTGTTGTAATACTCATTTCAGCCACAAGAGGCTTTTTATTTCTCCATCCACTCTGAACATGAGGTAAGTTTATTGTGTGTTAGCAAGTTATGTGACATTACTGTCATGTCTTTCTTTTGGCTAGAAATGTAAATTGTAATCAGCATTAATCTGCCGTTAGCATTAGCAATATTCAATAAACAGCAACCAATTCTATATCTAATAAATTACCAAAATCAAGATGTGTCTAAAGTGTTTTGTATAGTTATTATTAAAAGTACAAAATTATCATATTCTCTTAGCAACTGTCCAAATGTCCTAGTGATAAGTTTTTTTTTAATCTTTATTGATAAAACATCCCATCTCTGTTATTATGACCACGTTACAGTAAACTAATGTTAGCAATGCAGTCAACTCAACCTAGGTTGTAGCGGTTTATTAGACATGAATGATATGTTTTGCACTTGCTAGCTAGCGGGCTAATGGATACCATTAGCATAGCTAACGCTAACGTCATATTAGCCCAGATTAAAATACATTTATAGCCAAAAAAAGACATGACTAATGTTACACAACATCCTAACACACAGTACATATGTACCTTGTGTTTAGAATACACAGAGAAATTAAAAATCACCTGTGAGTAGTGTACATCACCCTCTTGTGGCTGAAATGAGTATTACAACAACAACACTTCTTTTTCACATTTTTCACTTGTTTCACAGATGAAAGATTTTTTAAGGAACTTCAGTAAGATTATTCTGGCAAAACCTTTTTCCACCTCTTCTTAAGTCACTGCATCCAAAAATGGATAAGCTGAATTTATTTTTTCTCACTTTCCTCTCAGGGCTTCCGTAGATATTTCCTGTTCCCACTGCAACTTTAAAAACTTTATTCTGCCTGACAGCTGGTTCCTGGACTAATTCACAGAAACTGAATGAATACAGATGCGTTCACTTTATGGTTTGATGACACGGAAACAGAAAACGCCTTGTATTTATGACGTGTACAACACAGAATATTTGACATGAACGAGTGTAAGCTGCTGATAAAATGTAAATTTCTGTGACCGCATGTATGAATGTGATGATTTATATTGTTCAGTTTAATTTATTCATATTCTGTGAATTAATTCGAGCTGTAAGTTACATCAGTTGCCTCATTCTCTGCACAGATGTGTTAACTTTGTGCTGATGTGGGTGGACTTCCCGTGGGAGGAGGATTTTTTTAAAGCCTTGTGTATGATATTTGACGGTGTGAAAGTCAGAGGTAATAAATGCAGTTCAGGCATGTTGTCTGTTCTACAGCGTCATTGTTCTAAAGTAGAGGTTATAAAGTCTTAAAGGAAACTACAAGTGAAAACCAGACCTGAACCAGGTCTTGAAGAAAAGATCCGACACTTAAGGAAATTATCTTATTCACTTTCTTGTTGAGAGTTTGATGAGAGGAGCAACACGACTCTCATATCTGTCCGTCATGAAGCTCGAGCCAAGAGATAGTCCAGAACATAACAAGTTGGTGTTTTTACTCTTTGTGTTTTTGTACTGATGAACAATTTATGAGTAACGAACTCTAGATGTGCTGCCCGACAGATTTTTCTTTTTCTTTTTTATTCCCCCGCACCAGCGACAGTCAGGAGACACAGTGACCGAACTTCTTCAAATTTGGCACAAACCCAAGGATGAACTGATTACATTTTAGTGGTTAAAGGTCAAAGGTCACTGTGACCTCACTAAACAAGTTTTTGGCCATAACTCACAAATTCATTCACTAATTATGAAACAATTTAACTCAAATGTCTATAGGGATAAAATAAAGTAATTACATTTTATATCCAAAAGGTCAAAGCTCAACTTCACTGTGACATCATAAAGTTCTGCAAAAACACTTCTGACCATTATTCAACGCTGTAACTCAGGAAGGAGAGACTGTGACCGTATTTCCTGTAACTTCGCTGGTTGGTGGAGGGATACAACCGTGTTTTGTTTTTGTTTTTTTATCTTTGGAGCAATTTCCAGACTCTATGCTAAGCTAAGCTAACTGCCTCCTGATGGTAGCTTCATATTTAACAGACATCTGACTCTCAGCAAGAAAGAAAATTAGTATAGTGTATATTCCCCAAAATGTTGAACTATTCCTTTAATCTAAGGTTTTCCCCTGAAGACGAATGAAGACGAGACAGTTGGAGGTCTTCACACATTGTACATGAACACCTGAACATTTCTGAGCATTGTGACTAAATCCTGTGCTTGGCCTGCTGTCTTGTTTTTCCCTCTTCCTCTCCTCCATCTCCGTCCTTCCCTCCGTCCCTCTGACTCTGCTCTCCCAGGACAAACTGTGTCTCCCTCACCACATCCTGGAGGAGAAGGGCCTGGTGAAGGTGAGCATCACGGTGCAGGCCCTGGTGGACGAGGCCTCCTCCAAACACGCCCTCCTGACGTGAGCGGCAGAGACGGGCGGCGCTTCCTCTGACTGACACGTACAACAGACGCACACCTGGATCGACACGCCGGACGCCACGACACGCCTCTGTGCTCATTCCGCCTCCCTCTCAGTAACAGAGTGATTTCTTCTATTTAAAGGTGTTAAGGGAACTAAACGATCAGAGGTGGATTCATTTACTAATTCACGAGAGGGAACTGAATTAATTTAGTGACAAAGGAGCCAAAACTGACCAGTGTTTGACCGGTCGTAGGTAAATGATGTGTTTTATATCAGTTTCAGGGTGTGAGTGAAAAATCAACTCTAACATCCACGTCTTCAGGTGAACACAAAACAAGCAGATACAAACTGAAGGGCATCAAAACAACTCCACTTTGTTTTATTTTATTTTTTTCTTGATTAAAAAATTCCTACACCAGTTGGTACCAAAAGGTTCTGACACAGTATCAGGGCCACGGTGACGTGGGAGGGGAAAATCTTTCATTTCAAGAATAAAGTCTAAACCAGTGGTCGGCCACTGGTGGCCTGCAGCGACAATATCCTGCCCGTCAGATTATTTTGATATTCAGATTTAGCTATAATGTTCAAAGAGAATCTAACTCCACCTGAAGAAGCTCATTTTACTTTTATTCATGTTGAGAGTGATTGACAGACAAACAGTCACATCAGGCTGCACAGCTCCTGGTAATGAAACACATCATGGCAGCAACAGTTATCCACAGAGAATCACTTCCTCGTTCTCTTTTGTTTTTGTTTTTTTGGCAGCAACGCTTTATTTCAAGCTTTTATTGTGAAAAGTTCTGACAGGAAGTTCCGAAGTTTCTGTTGTCAAACGTATAGTATGTGACTGTGGGCCACAGCTCCACGTCTCCACAGTAACAAAGTAAATTCAAGTTTAATTTTTTATCAATTAATTTTTTAATTAGCCTTTGATTATGATCTGACACCTAATGGATTAGAAAACACTCACGTGCCGACCACTGGTCCAAATAGTTTCAAAAAAAGTAAGAATAGATTTTTAATTCAGAGAAAATAGATCAATCGTATTAGACAAAGTCATAATTAGGAAAAAATTACAGTATTTCAAGATTTCATTCTGTAAAACTGACTTTTTCTCCTAAAATTAATTAATTCCTGAATTTTGTCGTAATATTTTTTACAATTTGTTTTTAAATTTTTTCTTATAATTTTACATATTTTTCTTTGATATGACATTTTGAGACTCATGTTTTTGTTCATAACCCATGGCCCTAATACTCTGTTATAACATAAGCAGATTTTTATTTTATTTTTTGATTGGTATTTGAATCTGAATTAGCGCTCCGTGCAGAACTTTGGCTTCACTAGCATTCAGTCTCAACCATTCAGCCGTAGCAGCACCAACTTCATCCCTTCACCTGTTTCCAATCAAGCAGTCTGTAATTTTACAAACCAGATCATTGATTATAGATTTTTTTCTACTGAGGTTTCAGGTGACGTGTTACTGTGTGAGTATTTAGCGTGATGCTCTCAGTTCCCTGAAGAGAATAAAACCAAAAGTCTTAACACAGAGGGCGACGACTTTTAACCACAATTTGTATTTAAACATAAAGATATTTATAATATAAAGAGAAGCTGAAATCATGTGTTTGGGTTGTTGTACACATCCCAAAAATATTTTTCTCTAATATATTTTAGGTATAATTGTGTATGTTTTATAAATGTTTGACTTTGTGTGGAGCTCTCTGCATCTCCCTGACCCAGGTCTGAGTCTGTGCTGTGGCGGGGGGAGGGGGGGCACTAATCTGTGTTTATCAAGCCTCTGAAACTGGTTCTGGGTCTTTCCTCACTCGCATCTGTGAGTCTGTGAGCTTAAATCTTCAGTTAAACCCACAGTTAAAGCTGCAGTTAAACCTTTAGTTAAACCTTCAGTTAAACCTGCAGTTAAACCTTCAGTTAAACCTTCAGTTAAACCTGCAGTTAAACCTTTAGTTAAACCTTCAGTTAAAGCTGCAGTTAAAGCTGCAGTTAAAACTTCAGGTAAACCTGCAGTTAAACCTTCAGTTAAACCTTTAGTTAAACCTGCAGTTAAAGCTGTAGTTAAACCTTCAGTTAAACCTGCAGTTAAACCTTAAGTTAAACCTTCAGTTAAACCTGCAGTTAAACCTTAAGTTAAACCTTCAGTTAAAGCTGCAGTTAAAACTTCAGTTAAACCTGCAGTTAAAGCTGCAGTTAAAACTTCAGTTAAACCTGCAGTTAAAGCTCAGCAGCCTGTTGCAGCAGCTGTGTGTAAACTTTGAACTTAGTGAGGGAGATACATAGAAACTAAAGTTAGTCACTGTTATAGAGTTAAGATAGAAAAAACATTTACATCTACAGATCCAAAATCGATGCAGCAGAACAAAAGAAGTCATTTTTTCTTCTTCCTGGCGCCTACATTACCCACAGTGCAACTCGACTTCAACAACAGTTCAGTTGGAGATTGGAGTGCGTTATGCTAGTAGCAGTGAGCTAAAAGATGGAAGTTTTCCAGAGACTTTAGTCGATGTTTATGACCATATGTATGTTGATACAGCCTCCTGGTAACAAAGGTCATTTACTGAAGTAACAGACATTTATTACTTTTAACTGAATAGTCTGTTGTTGGTCTCTTTCTTTCACCTGAATCCTTCCGTCTCTGTGATACTAATGAATTAATGAATTAAGCTATAATGTGAATAGAGACGCTGCATCTGATTATGATGGTGAGTTCAGTGTGAAACCAGTTAAACCATTACATTTACACCAGCTGGTGCGACGGGCTGCAGGTGTGTAAACATTGATCCTTTGTCAGCTTCCGGATTGAGAGACGCTTGATAAATGTCAGAGGTGTGTTTGATTCGTAGGTTTCAGGATGAGGCGGGTGGAGGGTCTGTGAGGAGGAGATCTCATGTAGCCACACCTCCGGCTCCAACAGTCCGCCGTGGTTTTTAAAAACTCCTCAAACACTATGAGATTCAAAAACATAAAAGCAGACGGTCTGGTGACTGTGTCACTGCTGTGTGGAGAAGATTTGAAGTTGATATTGAGGCGAAGTGTTCATGCGGTCCAGATCCCTGAGGTTCAGACCGGAGCTGTCGCTGCGTGAGACTCTGAGACTCACGGTGGGTTTGGGGTTTACTACACTGTTGATGCTTCATTCCACAGCCTGCTATGTCAACAGTGTGCGTGTGCGTGTGTGTGTGTTTGTGTGTGTGTGTGTGTCAACAAGGGAGTTGCCAGTCGGCCTTTTGAATTCTGTGGCGATGCAGACTTGGACCAAACCAAGACTTTAAAGGGGCAGTAACTAACTCTTGACCTTTGTCGCCCTCTGCTGGCAACTACAGCAAATCACAGCTTCCTGCAGCTCTGATGTCACTGACTCTGTCTGGTGCTGAACAACCACAGACACAGCTGTGGACACAGGCAAAGCCAGGGTGGAGCCAGATGGAACCATAACCCACCAAAACAAAAGCTTATCTAGAACGACCAATGGAAACTACATTCACATTCATGCAGCGCTTTTCTGTCATACACACACCGATGATACACTCAGCATCAGAGCATTCGGTCTGAGGACACTTCGAAATACACAGACATGGAAATACACTGACATTAAAATAGCATTTAAAGAAACAATCAAAGCCAATTTGAATAAATCAAAATAAAAATGTTCGTCTGGGACGGTCGATCAGGAAAGACGGGATCAGCTGCAGCATGACATCAGAGCCTTGGTCTCGTTAAGTGAGTCCATCCGTCTCTCCTTCTTCAGACTGGATCGTTAGTGTGAAGCGCCGCTCAAATGTTTGAACAGGTGAAATGAAGAATGTGTGAATGACATTTTTGGCGGGTTCAGGTTCGTGGTGAAGAGTCAGACGGTGACTGAACGGTGTTTGCTGACACACTGCTCCAGGTCTCGTCACAGATTTACTTACTGCCCCTTTAAAACCCAAACGCCTGCAGGTCTGGGATCATGTTGAGTTCCCTCTAATCTCCCTGATGAAGTGTCTGACGCTCGTGAACCAGCAGGCCTGTATGAATGAGTTTGTTCTTGTACATATGATGCAGCTTGGTATCCAAAGCTTGAGCTACTTTAAAGATTCAGCAGTAAAAAAAAAGAAAAAAAGAAAAAGAAACAGACAAATGCTTCCACTGGATTTCACAGTTGCCAAAACAATTACTTTTCTCTCTTGTGATGAAACTATTTAAATGTACATGTTATTGATCACAAGGATTTCTTGTTGTGGAATTGATATTTGAAAAAGCAGTGAGTTGTGTATTTCACTTTTTCTTCATGTACTGTATATTTCACCATCAAACACTCTACTTTAAGTCTTCATAATCAGTTGCTGAACAATATAGATAATCAATATCAGTATCATATAGATGTATTTCAACACTATGGGCAGCTTGAATATGTTTTATATTTTATATATCAGCTGTTAATATCTGGTAACAGCATTATTTCTCCTCTTGGCTAAAACCTGTAAGATATAATAAATAATTTCTTTTATTCCTGATATGAAATCATTTTAATTTAACTTTGAATGCCTGCTGAAATCAGTCAAAAATGAAATAGCAACAATATCAGGATCTTTATGTCAGCCATAATGTTGCAGATGTTGACGTCTGGAACAGAGAAAATACTTGTAAATTTAACGTAAAGAGAAATAAGAAGTCTGATGATTCACTTTGCTTGTCTGTAATTCTTCATACAATCACAGATTTCACTCACGAATCACATCGTCACAGTGTTTTTGGGAAAGGCAATAAAAACCACAGTGGCTGCCCCCCCCCCCCCGACAGAATCTGCACTTTAAACTTCTGTATTTATATCTTTGTTTTGGCAACTGAGAAAATCTGAAATCACCTTTAATGAGAGAACAGAGTTGAAATGTGATGCTGATGTAAATGGTGTAAATGTGCAGTGAAAATCCTGCTGAACACAAAGCAGTGTTGTTGTTTTTTATGTCTCTTCTTTTGTATATACAGTATATTATACTGTCCAGAAACGGCCTGTACTCACATTTTTGTACTTTTTTCTGACTGGGAGCAAATTTATTTTTATGTGACTTGTTTTCAGGTTTGTGGAGATTTTGATGTAACATACCCTTTTGTAACTCTTTGTGAACCTTTTGTGTAATTTGTTGTACAGCAGCTCAAATTTACATGCATGAAATGTCCCTTTAATGTCGCCTTAACTGCTGTGAATACTGTATATACTGTACTGTATTTCTCATCACTTTATCAGTAAAGACCTCATCTGTCGAAACAAACACACTTGTTGGATCACTGCAGCGACAGAATGAAAACGCACAAATGTTGACACTAAAATTACTTTACTCGATTTTTAAATCAAAAGGATGGTGGTTATATCTAAAAGGTCAAAGGTCAACTTCACTGTGACATCATAATGTTCTGCAAAAACACTACTAGCCATTATTCAACACTGTCACTCAGGTGGGGGAGGTTATGACCATATTTCCTGTAACTTGTCTGGTTGATGGAAGAAACAACCACGAGGAGGTGATTCTAGTTTACGTTGAAATTTCACAAAAATTTGAAATGTAGAAAAATGAGTTCACATCTATCTGTGAAACTTGTGTGACCTCAGTAATAAATAAGCAAAAACTAAAAAAAGATTTACACTAACTTAAACTTGAACTCAAGTTTTACTCATATCAAACCATGACTCATATCAAACCTCTGACTTCATAGAGTCAAAGTTCAAACACCTCTAATGATGCTCACATGATGCTTGTATCACTAAAACAAAAAGAGGGTTTACAAACAAATCTGATGGTTGATTTTGTTTTTAAGGACCAGGGTTATTGATGTGTTGATTGACAGCGAGACGGACCAATTATGTACAAGCCTCATTTACACAGTGGGCAGACTCTGGGAGTGAAAACCCAAATGTTCACGACTCAGGTATGTTGATATCAGGTTATTGGTACTTTTGTTTATTAATCTTCAGGTTGTGAATATTTTGGTACTTTAATATCCAGGTTATTGATACTTTTTTGTGTTCTTATCCAGGTTATTGATGCCTTGGTGCATTAAT